CCCAACCCCCGCGACCACCCGGAGCGGCCCCTGCTGCAGTCTTCGGCGCGCAGGGCCCACTTGCTTCTTTGCCGTCTCGTTCAATCGCGCCTGTCTAACCCCAGCCCCTCCGGCCCGCTCTCCCCAGCCCCCCACCCTGGAGCCTTCCATCTTCCGGAGCTCCTGAAAGCACCACACAGGGATCCGCGCTGAGCTCAATAAATTTCCCCAAGCCCTGCTCTGCCCTCCGCGTACCCGGGCCTTCTGCCTGCCTTTGAGAGGCTCTGGCCATATAGGGGATCTTACCCTCGTCCCCCCATCAAATTCTCCCCTCCCGTTTGACACCAATCCCAGGTATCTGTCCTTTCTCCCCAGCAGGAATGGGTGTCCTCTGCCCTCCCAGTCATTCAAGCGCACCCCCTCCCTCTTCTCAGTCATCCTGACTGCCTTATCTTCTCTCTTGTCTCTGGGGATGCTACTCTGACCCAGGCCGTGAGCCTCTATCCAGCAGGGAGCCTCAGCGATGGACCCACAGCCTGGCTGTCCTCTCATTTGCTTTCCTCCTTGCTTCTCCCCAGAACCAGCTGGGCCTCCTGTAGGGAGGCAGAGTGGACATTCCCTGTAGTGCAAACCCGTGGCTCTTGGTCTCTGTGCCCCCTCCATTCCCTACCCCTCCCTCACACACTGGCCACTCGCATGAGTTTCTGCTTGATACAGCAGGTTGGGATGGGAACTGCAGGGACTCAGGAGCAAGTCTCCCCCAACAACTCATTCTGGCTTTTCTCTTTCAGAAAACCGGCCATTCCCGCCGGACCTTTGGCCGACTTACCCATGGTGCGTGGACTGTGGGCTGCTGTAGCCCATGCCCACTTTGCCTCCTGGTCCCTGTCCCTCCATGAGGCATCAAGACCCTGAAGACAGTCCATGAGATATGGGACACCCCCACTCATGTCGACACCCACCCAGCAAGGGTCCCTGTGCACTACAGCTGAGAGGGCTTAGCAATGGGGAGAGGGGCTCATTAGCACACCCCATGGTGGGGGAGGCCTGGGCTTCTGCTCTCCATCTGTGTGGCCAAGTAAGAAGGAGCTCATTGCCATGCTCTGGCCACCAGCATATGGCTCCTGCTTGTCCTGGCACCCACAGGGAAACTGAGGCACAGAATTTGATAGACTGAGAAAGGTGAAAATATGCCAAAGAACCTTGGTTCCTAATGTAACCACTGGGCACTTTTGAGGACCGTGCAACAGTAGAAGAGAGGGTTCATGAGGAAAGTGCCTTTCAGCGAATGCAGACAGATGGGTCTTCAATTGTAAAAAAGCACACAGCAAACACTATAACACAGGGTGAGCATGACCACTAATAGGGAGGTCCAGGTCAGTGCCTGAGCTGGGCCCAGACTAGTATGCGTGTGTGTGTGTGTGTGTGTGTGTGTGGCCAGGGAGACCATCAGTAATTGCCAAGGACTAGAGCCTGTGGGACAGTCAGGATAACCAGCTTAAGCAGGTGGGCTCCCCAGTCCCGAGCACACCCCCTACCCATCCCCACAGGGCAACTGTGGGCACTGAAGACCCTCATGCCCCCTCTGTCCTGCCTGCCCTCCATGTCCCACCCCACAAACACTCTGATAACTGTCTGTCCACATCTCTCTCCTGCTGCTCCTATGGAAGCGAAGTTTTCCGCTCCTGCAGAAAGCAAAGTTACGGTAGGAAGCTGGCTCCTGCCCTAGTCCCCCACCCACCCCTTCTTCCCCAATCAGCCCAACCTCTCCTCACCCTGCCTCAGCTGCATCCTGATGCCTTCCAGCTGGTATGGGGTGCAGGACAGGCTGGCCCTGCCGTTGGTCGAGTACTCTGACAATACGACTCTAAGGTGACTCCCCTGGGGCACTAGAAACAAGACTTTAGAGCATTAGAACCCAGGACTTTGTTAATTTGGGTTTTGTAGAGGGACTTTAATGACAGGGAGAAGAGGGAAAGGGAATGAGGCCCCATAAGGCACTAAGTGGGTGGGAAAAGCGGGGAGAGCAGTTTTGAGAACCCCACAGAGGCAAGGGTCAGTAGCCAGGGGCCCAGAGATGGAGTCAGTGCATTGGCATGGGAGGGGCTACCCTGAGCAGCCCCAGGGGATGTCAGGAACAAAAGGGGAGAAGATGGGGTCCTGGACATCCTCCTTTGGTAAGATGGAGCCTGCTGTGGGGGAGGCAGGAGGCAACAAGGAAGAGTTGGAGGCAGAGGGAGGAGGGCCCTGCCCACACAGACCCCTTCTTCTCCAGACTCAGAGACGGCTGAGGATGACATCAGCGATGTGCAGGGGACCCAGTGCCTGGAGCTTCGGGATGACGGGGCCTTCAGCACCCCCACAGGTGAGCCCTGGGTGCTCCAAGAGCAGGCGGGGGGGCTTCCTCAGGGCTGTTTCCACTCACCGTGCCCCTTTCTCTAGGGGGCTCTGACACCCTGGTGGGCACCTCCCTGGACACACCCCCGACCTCCGTGACAGGCACTTCGGAGGAGCAAGTGAGCTGGTGGGGCAGCGGGCAGACGGTCCTGGAGCAGGAAGCGGGCAGTGGGAGTGGCACCTGCCGCCTCCCAGGCAGCCCAAGGCAAGCACAGGCAACCGGGGCCGGTCCACGGCACCTGGGGGTGGAGCCGCTGGTGCGGGCATCGCGAGCTAATCTGGTGGGCGCAAGCTGGGGGTCAGAGGATAGCCTTTCGGTGGCCAGTGACCTGTACGGCAGCGCGTTCAGTCTGTACAGAGGACGGGCGTTCTCAATCCACGTGTAAGTAACGGCCTCCCCTGGGCCTGCCCTGTCCCGTTTCACTGTGCTGTCCTGCACTGCCCATCATTGCCTCATCAGCCAACAGCCATCTGTCCTGCCCCATGCGTCTCTGTGCACCTCACCCCCCACTGCTTCCACTTCTGGCCCTGGCTATACTCTTTTCCCACACTGCTCCCTCCTTCCGTGCCATCACCACCCACATCCTGCTCCCACCTGTCCTGGCTCACCGTACCATCTCCACAGTCTTGGGGATCCCCTGTCCCTTCCTCATCTCCTCCAAGAGCTCGTTTGTCAGGGGCCCTCTCCTGCCTCACCCATCCAGGCTCCAGTTGTCCCTAGAATCCACCCCCCCAGGGCCCCCTCCGTGCCTGCTGTCTCAGCAGCTGCTGCCTTTTCATCTCTCTGCACATTCCTGTTCCCATGTGGGCCTTTTTCTGGGAGGAACAGAACCTTTCCACACGGCAGCTCCCAGGAGAGCAGGAGAGAGCAAGGGAGCAAGAGAGCAACCAGGAGAAAGAGAGTGAGGTGGTCAGGGGCAGATTGGATGGGGGTGGGGGCTGCAGAAGTGGAGGGATGGGGGCTGTGGGGAGTCAGGGCTGAGGGAGGGAGGGACTGGAGACGGGGCTGGGTGGAGGGGGAGGGCCTTCAATGACAATGGCAGGGGGCATATGACAATGTCATGGGCATGGAAAATACCCAAGGGTGGGGTCCAGAGTAGTCCTCGTGGAGGCTGGAGAGGAGCGGAGGTGTTGGAGTGAGGCATTGGAGCCATTTTTGGATATTTGGGGGCTGGCAGACTCAGGAGGAAGTGCTGTAGCAGAAGAGGGGAGTGGCTGATGGTAGAGGTATGGGGGCATTTGGGGAGCTGACAGGGGGCCTGATTTGTGGTGGGTATGGGTGTGGGGGAGGTACCATCATGGAGGAGAAAGAAAGGGTCTGATGGGGAGGCTTTTTTGAGGGTTGCTGTGGTGGCCAGTGGTGGCAGGGGAGAGGTCTGGTCCTATTGGGGAACCCCCCCACACCAGCTCCCTTGGTTTATTTCATTGGCATCACCAGGCTTTCCTGTGCCCTGGACTTGCCTCTCCTTCTCTGCTTTTCTTTCTGAGGCCCTAACTGGAGCCTGGAGTTGCTATGGCAACTTAGGAGGAACCCATTTCCTTAGTGATGATGTCTGTGGTACAGAGTCTGGCCTGGAGCACTTGGAGCTGCCGGCAAGAGGCCTCCTCTGATGTCCCGTTTCTCTGTAGGCCTCGCCCACTTCACAGAGCCCATTCCTCTGTGACTCTGTTGCTACCCCCCAGAAAGTAAACTCTGCCTCCCTGAAGGCTGCTGGCTGAGGCTTTTCTCCCTTGCAGGGCCCTAGGAATTGCCTCTCTTCTCTTCCCCCAGGCAGGGGTGGGTCTGCAGAGTGGGTAACTGAGCCACGTAGGATAAAATATCTTTATACTCACACACCCCTAGAACTTCTACAGCTGGCGGGTACCGTGCTGTTTCTCCCTTCTACGTCCCCAGAAACCCAGACAATTGAAAAAGAGCAAGGGCTCAGAAGTCAGACTACCTGGATTTCAATCCTGGCACCTAGTTAAGTGCATTCAAAGGGAGCACTTAACCTCTTGGAAGCCTTAATTTCTTCTTGTGGAAATGGGGATAATACCAGTTCCTGTCTCGAGGGACTGCTGGGAGGATTAAATGACTCAATGCATTTGAAGCACTTAGTATATGCCTGGCAACAGTAAATATTCACTGAGCCATTTCCTTAGTTTTTAAACTGTCTAATGTGTGGGGTATAATAGCTCTCAGATTCCTTTTGTTGCCCTTCTTTATGATTGATGTGCCTCCCCCAATGGCCTTGCTGGGGTAAACTGAGCCCTGGCTCTTGGGCATCACGGCTGTATTAGGTGAGGGTGTTTTCAGGGTTGACAGACTCCTTCCCTCCTCCTCATCTCCACACCCCCTGTTCAGGCCCACTTGGTAGTTATTTCTGAGCTGAGTTATTTCTGAACATATCCCTTGGAGGGGGCTTACATGCTCTTAGGATTTCTAAGACTGAAGATACCTTTCTGAAGGGCGAGACAAAGACAAGGGACTATGTTGTAGGCAGACTGAGCAGAGGGAATGGGAGCTTGGGTATCCCATTCCCAAGGATCCCAGTTCCCACCTGCCAGTACTGGTGGTGGTGACAGGGATGGAGTACTGCTTCCTGAAGACTTGTGCCTGGGACACAAGGAGGCAGTTACTATCTTCTGGGGGCAACTATAAGGGGATGTGTCCTGCCAGCTGGGGTCAGGAATGAGCGGGAGGCTGCATTCCTGAGAGGGTCCCTTCCCATCCAGCCCTCCTGTCTTTGCTCACCACCTCATTTTGAGTTCTAAGCCTCATTGTTTCCTTTCCCTCATGCTCGGTTCTGTTCCTGCTGTTTCCCAGCTTCTAGGGCTGGGGAGAGGTGCTGGCTAGAGCCCCTGGGGCTGAGTCTGTACCTGGACCCAGCCACTAGCGTGGGCTTTTGGTGCATGAGCTGCTGGCCTCTCCCCAGCACCTGCTCTGGCTGTGCCCTCCTCGTGGGGGTGGGGGGCAGGAGAGTTTGGCCCATGTCACACCCAAGCCTGCCCAGCATGCCCCACTGCCTAATCACTTCCACAGGCTGAAGGTCTAGAAGGGGAGACCCCCTGAATCCTCTACCCCTCTCGGTCTTGGTTCTGCAGCAGTGTCCCTCAAAGTGGATTGCGCAGGGAGGAGCCTGACCTTCAGCCTCAGCCGGCAAGCGAAGCCCCACGTCCTCGCCCGGCCCTTCCACCTCCCTCCAAGTCCGCGCTGCTCCCCCCACCGTCCCCTCGGGTGGGTAGGCGGGCTTCTCCGGGACCCAGCGCTCAGCCCCCGGCCACCCCCACATCGCCCCACCGGCGCACTCAGGAGCTTGCGCTGCCAGAGGACGCCACCACCGAAGAGAAACGAGGGAAAAAATCCAAGTCGTCTGGGCCCTCGCTGGCGAGCACGGCAGAGTCTCGGCCCCAGACGCCACTGAGCGAGG